ACAATGTTTCTAGCAATGCTGGTACTCAATGCTCTTTTAGCTGTGACTTGCAGGATGTTTTTGCTGGAAAAGGACCATTCTTTATAGAGGAGCAGTACAAGCAGATTCTAGCATTGTTGAATAAGGAACCGACATTCAAAGGAGACTAAGTTCCTTAAGGAAACACTGTAAATTCAGTGGGCTCAGATCAAATTTTATTTCTTCTACATTTATGTTTATACGTTATTTTTCCTTGTGCAGAATTATTTTACAAATACAGTATACTAACAATGTTATCTCTCTCTGCTATCCTTAAATTTTATTAAGGGATGGGGAATTTGAATAATATATACCAATAGTATAAATAAGTTTTTTCCCTATCAAATCATCTAAAATATATCACTAAGTAATTTTTCATTAAATGTGAGATATATAATTTGAAAATAAGGCGTGTTATCTGCTTCAACACTGCCTTGTTTTTAAAACATTTAAATCTTAGATTAATTCTAAACATTTTTAGAATAACATGATAGTTTAACTTTACTTGCTAGTGCAATATTTTGCTACCCTGTTAATATATATAAATTAAAGTCAAAAAAAGAAAGAAGAAGGTGTAAGCGAGTCCCTATACGCTCTCCATCAATGGTGACAAAATAGCAGCAATGACCATCAAAGATGATGGTGTGATGGTAAATAATTTTTTATATTTAATTAGAGATTTAGAATTTAAACCGTAAAAATAAAGTCAATTTTGATAGGAAGCATTTTACCTTCTTAATGGTTCCTGCCGTGAATTTAGATTAGTTAAATTCCAAAGTGACTATTAAACATCGAATGAAAATCAAAAAAGGAAGGACAAAATGAGTAGTACTAAATTTATGATGTAAGATACTTTTTAGGGTAAAAATTATTTACACCCCTTAACTTTACTTTAAATATTAAATTCATCCCTCAACTTTAAACAATTGACATTCTTCCCCTCTTATCCTACACATTCTATTTTGTCTTTGCCAACCTATATGTAAATGTATAATACTTTTTAATTATATATGATATTTTTTATTACGTATAATTTAAATCATTGTATACCTTATTATAAACTATAACTTAAGCTTATTAAAATTATAAATAGAATAGTCCTTGTATAAATTTATTACAAAATTTATGTTTATTTTATGATTATTATTTTAATATAACACGCATTAATTATATATTTAAACTTTATTTTCTCAATGAAAGAGCACTAAATTCATACATGAGGATTAAGAAAATACTAAAATATTAAATCTTGGATTTGAACTTGTGATTCAAATAAATTTCAACCCCTTTACCACTATAATAAAAAAAATTCTAACTGCAAGGGAATTTAGCAACTTTTATATAACTAAAAAAAAATTCTATTTGCCCCATTTGCGTCGTCCAATTTTCTATCAGGGGATTCAATTGAACCCTCTTATTTCCTTTAAATACAATATTTGTTTTGATTGTTACTTAAATTTTATTGTATCGTATCGTTAAATCCGTCGTTACATAACGACGAAATGTGCCCATTGTATCGTTAAATCCGTCGTTACGATACCCATTGTATCGTATCGTATTGTTACTTTAAATACAATGTTTGTTTTGATTGTTACTTAAATTTTATTGTATCGTATCGTTAAATCCGTCGTTACATAACGACGAAATGTGTCATTTTATATAACGACTGATTTGGTGTGGTCTTGTCGTTACCTTGTCTTTTTCTCTCAATCTCATCCTTTATTATTATTAAATTATTTTATTTTTATCATTTATCCTACTTTTTTATATAGTAATTTTACCCTGTATCATAATTTTTTTATTATAATATTACAAGTTTATTCTTCATATTACTGGTGCATGATATTATAAAATGATGACAAACAACACAATCTATCCAAACATTGTATTTATCAAACGATACAGTACAATACAATATAGTACGATACGATACATTATGAAACGATGCGTAACAATCATCCAAACAAACTGTTAGCTCTGCCCTAACACTTTCTCTCTTATTTGAATATATAAATATTTGAGTTTTGATTGTTATTAATGAAATATTTTACATTTAAAATTTAAAATTCATTTAAAATATAAATAGATTATTTTTAGGAATTGTTATAAAAATACCTCTATCTTTTAATAATTAAATTTTTTATTACATGAGTTGAGTATATATTTGTAGGTTTTCTCACTATTTTTAATTCTCAATTGTGTAAATAGGTTTTTGAGTTTTTATTGCTATTAACAAATTACATATATGAGCAAATTATTATTATTATTTTTTGCCTCTTTATTTTTAATATTCAATATCATTAAAAATATGCTTTATTATTATTTTTATTTTTTTTATTTTTAAAATGAGATTTTTGTTGTTGTATAGGTAAATTCATAAGATAAATAATAGAAATGAGAAAAATTTCATGACATTAAAAAAATATAAAAAAACAAACGAAAATAGACAAGTGTTGATAATATAGAGGTTATGATAGACATTTTAAATAGTAAATTGAGAAATGAGGAGGAGAATATTAATAATTCAAAAGTGAGAGGGGAATTTAATTTTTAAAACAAAATTGGGATGTGTAAATGTTCACCCATATTTTAATGTATATTTAAAATATATATATATATTAAAACAAAATATATGTAAATGGTGAACATTTACACAACCCATTTACATTAAATTCCCCTCTCACTTTTGAATAATTATATTTAGATTTATTCCTCTGATTGTCCTATTACAGACTTGTCAGTTCTGTAAAGCAGAGATCTTAGATCTGCAACGACTATTTAAGGAGCTACCCGCCTTTAACGTACACACACATTAAACACCTCAACTTTCTCTTTTGCACATCAATTGAGCGATCTCACAGGTATTCCACTTCATTTTCTTTATCTCAATCCATTAAAACTATTGTTTAATTCACGTTTATGTACACTCTTGTGTTTGATGATCCCTTTATGGAAACGAATTGATTTTGGTGACCCATTTATGTAAAAGAACTTATTTTTATGACCCCTTTATGTAAAAGAATTTATTTTTGATTCATAGTGTGAAGTAGGATTTGTGGGGTTTCCCAAGATCGAAAAGGTGAATTTTCTGCTATTTTCAGGTTCTTTTGGAAAAAAATTATATTTTTTTTGTGTCTGATTTGACAATGGTAGTGCCTGATTTACCAAGATCAGAAAGTGTGAACTTTATGGTATCTTTTAGGTTAGAAACCGGGGGGGGGGGGGGGGGTGTTGGTGTATCTGACTTGATAATGGAAGTGCCTGATTTAAGGTTCTTTTGTTAAAAAGAAAAAAGAGTCTTTTCCTTATATCTGACTGAATAATAGAAGTTCCTGATTTTCGTGCTAATTTTTTGCTATTTTTAAGGTTCTCTGGAAAAAAAAAAAGTAGTACTTTTTACGTATATGATTAGAGGGATGTGTTTGATTGTCTTCCTTCTTAATTTTGACTCATAGTCTTAGGTTTCCTGCAGAAATGCTGTGTTAATTGTTAAGATCTTACTACATCCAGAGGTCCGAGCGCAGAGCGAGAGTTGGAGTCTGAATCTTCCATCTTCATTTTAGATCTGATCAAGATCATGGTTACCACATGCCATTACCAAATTTTTACTGTTCTTGTATGCACAATTGGTGCTATTTTTACATCTACTCCAAGTTCCTGCGCTTCTTCATAAATATTGTATTGTCCGCAGAATTACATGTAAGCAGTAGTATATTGATTCAGAGACTCAATCTCTCATCCTTTGGGTACTGTTCCATTTGACTGAAGTAGGGCTGTATTTTGTCCCGGGCCCGGGCCTTAGTGGGCCTAACGGGCCGGGCCTCGCGNCTGAAGCTTTATGCTATTGTTACAATATTACTCTGAACCGGAGATTGGATTTCATCTTTCTTCCATACTAGGAGTTCCCTTTCTGTATCCACTTTTCAATGCATCCTTGTTTCAGCAGCCTTTTCTTGTTTGTGCATTCTCCAATTACTACGTGCTGCAATGAGAAATGCAAATAAAAAGTAGTCTTTTGCATGTTTTGTGGTCGAATCACTATTTTTTATTATGGATGCCATCTGGTTGGTCACAAAAGTTTGTTGCAGTAGGTTCATTGGATGACCAATTATAAACACATGAAAGCTTGTAGATTATACGTCTACACATGCTTTCTGATAGAACAAGTTTCAATATGTTCCTTACATTTCCTTTGATTTGAGAAGGCAGCCTCAGAAAATGCTTGAACTTCTTATTGCAGAGTTTAGAACAAAGGAAAATGGTGAAGATTTGCTGTATAGGAGCTGGATATGTGGGTGGCCCCACCATGGCCGTCATAGCACTCAAATGCCCTTCCATTGAAGTTGCCGTTGTAGACATTTCTGTGCCTCGCATTACTGCCTGGAATAGCGACCAGCTCCCCATCTATGAGCCAGGACTTGAGGACGTAGTCAAAGAATGCCGAGGCAGGAACCTCTTCTTTAGCACAGATGTGGAGAAGCATGTGCGCGAGGCTAATATCGTTTTTGTTTCAGTCAACACTCCTACCAAGACGAGGGGTCTTGGAGCAGGCAAGGCTGCAGATCTCACTTACTGGGAGAGTGCAGCCCGCATGATTGCTGACGTCTCAAAATCTGACAAAATAGTTGTTGAGAAATCAACTGTTCCAGTCAAAACTGCTGAGGCAATTGAAAAGATTTTGACTCACAACAGCAAGGGAATTAACTTCCAAATCCTCTCAAACCCCGAGTTTCTTGCTGAGGGGACCGCAATCGAAGACCTTTTTAAGCCCGACCGAGTCTTGATCGGAGGTCGGGAAACCCCGGGAGGCCAAAAGGCTATCCAAGCATTGAAGGATGTTTATGCCCAATGGGTTCCTGAAGATCGCATCCTCACCACCAATTTGTGGTCTGCTGAGCTCTCAAAACTGGCTGCCAATGCATTTTTGGCACAAAGAATCTCTTCTGTGAATGCCATGTCAGCTCTCTGTGAGTCTACTGGAGCAAATGTCTCAGAGGTGTCATATGCTGTAGGTAAGGACTCGAGAATTGGTCCCAAGTTTCTTAATGCTAGTGTTGGTTTCGGTGGCTCTTGCTTCCAGAAGGATATTCTGAATCTGGTTTACATTTGCGAGTGCAATGGTCTTCCAGAGGTGGCTGAATACTGGAAACAGGTAATCAAGATCAATGACTATCAGAAGATTCGTTTTGTCAACCGCGTTGTTGCCTCCATGTTCAACACAGTATCAGGCAAGAAAGTTGCCATTCTAGGTTTTGCTTTCAAGAAGGATACTGGTGATACTCGAGAGACCCCTGCAATCGATGTTTGCAAGGGACTGTTGGGAGACAAGGCTAAGTTGAGCATATACGACCCTCAGGTTAACGAGGACCAAATCCAAAGGGACCTCGCAATGAATAAGTTTGATTGGGATCATCCCCTTCACCTCCAGCCAATGAGTCCCAGTAACGTGAAACAAGTGTCCGTCGTTTGGGATGCCTACGCTGCAACAAAGGATGCTCATGCTGTTTGCATTCTTACAGAGTGGGACGAATTCAAGAATCTTGATTACCAGAAGATATATGATAACATGCAGAAACCTGCTTTCATATTTGATGGTAGGAACGTTGTTAATGTGGAGAAACTTAGAGAGATTGGATTTATTGTCTATGCAATTGGTAAGCCACTGGATGCCTGGCTCAAGGACATGCCTGCCGTTGCTTGAAAGCATTATTTTTTGGTTGGATATCAAAGATACTAGTAATCAGACAGTCAGCTGGAATTCTTTACTATTTTTTCATCAGTTTTAAGTTCTTTTTTGTTTTGTCCCTTTGTAGACAGAGGACAGAGTCATTGTCTACCACTATTTGTTATACTTTATATTTACGAGAAAATGACAAAAATAGTCTTTTATGTTTGACGGTTGATTTAAAATAATCCTTCAAATCTACACACGGACAGTTTTAGTCTTTTATGTTTATAAAAAGTGAACACTTTTGGTCTCCGTTATATTTAAACACACTGCGGTAGTTATTTTAGTCGGAATTGATTCGTGAGACGCATGTGAGTTGGTTAAGAAACCAAAGAAACGTCCTTCTCTTGATCAACACTGATGCAACTTATAATGATGCATGCGTTCCATATTAGCAGTAACATATCAAATACTGTATTGACTTAGGTACGGTAATCCCAATGGTTCAACGTCCATCAAAAGTTGTGATGGGTAGTAAATAGGTCTCTATTCCTAAAATGAGGTTTTGGTTTTGAATTCTGCGAATGGAGTCTTCTTTTGGTAGGGAGAGTATTATCCTCCAAATTGGGACTTTCGGACGTGACGATATTTTGTAAATACATAATAATCTTGAATAGTCTTTTCAATATAACTGGCTCATGTGCTCCTCGCGAGCCATATCTGTTAAAGACAAAAGTGTTCAATTTTATTTAACATAAATATCTAAGAGTCCTCGTGTGTATATTAAAAAGCGTATTTTAGACCAACCTAAAAAAGAAAGGTACTATTTTGTCATTTTCTCAATATTTCCGGTCAATCTTGTTGTTCTTGTACTTTGTTTGCACTCTCATACTGGGAAAGTGGGGAAAGTTACAAACATCAATTTTATAGCTCGGATCAAGTAAACAAAGGTCACATCAAGAACGAGCTAATATGATAATTGTATAAGGTAAAATCGGTTCACATTAAATACTCTATAACAGAGCGACACATAGAATTGAAGACAGATGGAAAATAAGACAAGTGGAAACCAAGACCAGGGGCAGCAGCTCCGATTGGCACCGGAAAATCCCCGACGGAAATATTGCAATTAAACACAAACAAATATCTATCACCCGATAGCATTCAATGAGGAATATTCTACAATATTAAATACACAACCCATTATAGAGAATTATGGCATTTATAGCCTATCGTTACACATTCTTCGATAACTCTCATGGTTTCATTTAAGAGGGGCTTGATCCTAGGATTTCAACATCCTAGTTGCAACTATAAATAGTGACTTTAACAACCATTGTAAGGACACGAATTTTCTGGTGAACTTATGTTGTATACTATTCAAAAGCTCAATAATATTTTATTTCTTGTCTATTGATACTTGTATTACTGCCTCCAGAAGCTTAGCTCCCGGAACCAAGCTATCTGTTGCCTTATCTCGATTTCAATACTAAGTCTTGCATTTTATTTAATTTATTTATCATTTTGGGATCAAATTGATTCGCTTGTCTATAAATCATGTTACAAATTCAACTGTACCATTTTACGAGTAAACAGTTTGGCGCCCACCGTGGGGCTTAGACAGTTGCATAATTGGGTTGATCTTTGCATCTATTACTAACCTGTTTAATTCTTTGTTTCTTAGCGGAAAATCGTAAAAAATGGCAGATAACGTTGTCAACATCACGCACAAAGTTGAGGCCCAAGGAAATCAGCCTCAACACGAAGATTCGATTAGCGATACCTGCAACGAGGGAGATGAAGCCACGTCGGTCCATGGCGGGCAATATCCATGACACATTCAGGAGGCAACACCCGATGATGTTGAAGACGAGCACGTTGGGAAAATAGTAAGAATCCTGAGGAAACAACAAAAGGCTATTATGGGCCATCTCTCGTGACAAGATCAGGTCATGACAGAGTTGTGGAAGGCGTAGTCGGGTGCTTCCAACAATATGAATGGAAGAGGTCCAGTTCCTCCCAGTACTCCCGCAAATCAAACAACTTAAAGGGTTGATAACAACACCCCGAGGGGTGAGGTCGACTTCGATAGGGCTGGGGCGAAAGGCAGCGGATCTGGTAACAATAATGAGAATGATCCCTTTAAATTCTAACTCATACGGTTTATGAGGAAATAAACGCCCGAAGGGATCAAATCTCGGGCGCACCGCTAGTGTTAAAAGTGTCGGACTCAAAGAAATACACCCAATTGCCGTTCAAACCAAGCAAGGTACCGAAGCTAATCCCGAAGCGATTTAAAATGCCAGATGTGTCAAAATATGATGGGACCTCGGATCCTCAAGAGCACATCACCACCTATACAATGTCGGTGAAAGAAAATGACTTAGCTCCACATGAGATTGAGTCAGTCTTACTAAAGAAGTTCGGGGAAACCCTCATGAAGGGGGCCCTGACATGATATTTACTTTTACGCGAGCATTCAATAGATTCCTTCGAGATGCTCACAAATTCTTTTATCAAGGCCCATGCCGAGGCCAGGAAGGTGTAGGCCCGAAAGGCCGACATATTCAGAATTGCACAAGGAGAGTCTGAACTACTCCGAGAGTTCATACCATATTTTAAAAGGAAAGAATGATGCTATTGTTCGTGCCAGATAAATGGGCAGCTGAGGCATTCACAAAGGGGTTGAACCCCGATGAGCTCTGAACGATTCCCGAAAACTAAAAGAAAGTCTTCTCGAGTTCCAAGAAACAACATAAGCGGATGTCCACAACCGCTATAAATCAAATATAAGAATAGAGGATGACCAACTCGGTTTCTTCGCATCAACTAAGGGTCGGGATCGACGGAAGAGTAAGGAAAAGTTGAAGAATGATTTTGACACAGATTGATGATCTTCTAGAGGTCGATTTTTGCCCTACGAAAGGGCCGAAAGACGCGACAGAGGTTTCCGATCAGCGTTTAGGTTTGCTACCGATAGGAGAGCTAATTGTGGCTAAAATAACAGATTGTTGTAGGATATGGAGGTATTAGTTTCCCCGGACTCCATCTATCCCAGACTGTCCAAGTACAATTTTAATATCGGCATGGTGGAACTAGTATTTGCTATGAGGAACATTAAGGAAGCACGGTTCTCGAGGCCGATGAGATTTGACCCTAGTCAGAGGGATCCTAACCTATGGTGTGAATATCATGGGATGAATGGCCACCGGACTGGGGACTGCCGACATATACGTGAGGAGGTGGCAACATTGCTGAACTGCCATCTTAGAGAGTTCTTGAGCGACCGGGCTAAAAACAACTATGGTCGCAACTGGGATAACACACAGCTCTCAAAGTCACGAGAAGATCCTCCTCGTCTAACGATCAACATGATTTTCAGAGGGAACGAGATCAATGGTGTAACCTTCTTAGCTGCAAAAAAGACAAAGGTATCGGTAACCCACAACAAAAGACTCCAGGAAGTCGTCGAGGACTATATCACCTTCATGAAAGAGGACACCGATGGGCTCCTACTACCACACAATGATGCCCATGTAATATCTTTTAATGTTTTATATTTTAAGATTAAACGTGTTTTGGTAGACCTAGAGATCCAGCCAATATTATCCAATGGAGAGTGGTAGAGCAAGACAAGCTACCCGGAAGCATCATTCTGGCCACAAAGCTCCTCTTCGAGTTCAATTTAGCAAGTGTGACAACCCTGGGGGAGATCCTACTACCCACAAACAATGAAGGGGTAAAGAAGAAGACCCTGTTTGAAGTAGTAGATGGCGATATGGGCTACAACATTATTCTTGGAAGATCATAGCTACACGAGATGAAGGTTGTGCCGTCAACATACTATCAACTTATGAAATTCCCAACTCCGGAGGAAATTAAACAAATTAGAGGAGATCAAACGGTAGCAAGGGAGATGAACGCAATTTCGGTTTCCAGTAGTAAAGGGAAGGAACGTGTAGCATAGTAATTACAAGAACTGATGCCTACTCCCGAGCCAAACAAAGTCGACAAAGAGGGGGAACTCGTCGAAATCCTATCAGGTACCAAGGTATTTCTAGGTACAAGAAGAAACGGACACAACCAAAACTACATCGGAAGAACTCGAACAAGTTGCATTGTTTGAGAAGTTCTTGGAGAGGAAATTCCACTTGGGGACAGAGCTAAACCCTGAGCTCATGTCAGGTTATATAGAATTTCTCAAATTTATGTTGATTGTTTTGCATTGTTGCATGCAGATATGGCAGGTATCCCGCTAGAGGTGGTCGTGCACAAGTTAAGTCTGGATCCCAACATCACTCTGGTAAAGCAAAAGAAACGGCCCATTGCCGAGGTCAGAAATAAGTTTGTCAAAGAAGAGGTAACTCGATTGCTTGATATCGGTTTGATCTGTTAATTTGTATAGGTCTACCAAATAGTAGAGTACCTGGTCCTCTACAAGATTCTGCTGAGAGTACTTCATAAAGCAGTAAGTAAATGAGGTAGAGGAATTTTTACGTGAAAAAATCCCACACAAGAGGATAAAAAAATCACGACCTACACCTGTAGGTTTTTAACTTTACTAACTTGTAATCTTACCTATTACAAGCCACTTTACAATAATTCCTAATGAAAAGGATTTACTCAACTAACTTGTGGTACCTTTACCACAAGCCACTTTGTGACTATCCTAGTTACAAAAGATTTTTCTAACTTGTGATGCTATCACCACAAGCCACTTTATAATTCTACGATTACAAGGACTTTTCCTTATGACTAAATCTAGTCACAATATAAACTCAACGAGTTTACGGATTTACAAGAGGATTCCTAATCAGAATGCTTCTAGGTAAGCGGTTTAGGAGATACAGTAAGTACAATAACAAGATTGCAACTCAACTAGGACAGTAATAATATATCGTTTAGGAACTGGTCCGTAGTAGCATTCAACATTGTTCTTCAAGCTTGTGAGGATGATTTCTCTATTTTTTGCAAGAGGCTTGAATAAGAAGCAAAACCCTTCCAGTGATGTCTTTTGTATAAAGCTCATTGGGTACATCTTGATCACATCACTTGAAATGATGTGAGTACTTTGTTTGGTTAGAGAATGAGTAGGCTGACAGTGTAATGCAGTGCGGCAGAAACAGTGCCATCAGTCACTTCACTTCCAGCTGTGTCCAAATGACTTTGTACTGCTATGAGGAAACCACAAGAGCATCAGGTCCTTGTTTTGGTTCCTAGCTCCTGAA